AAAAAGATAGAATTAATGAAGAATTTAGGAAGACAATGTTGGGACTTGTCATGGAAGGGAGAAGACCCTTTCACTACGGACTTTAAGTAGTCAGACAAGTGGCCTACTTCTGTTAGAAGTAGTGCGGCAGGTTGCACTTAGGTACTCATTGGGTGGCCGGGTGATGCTAGACTTAGTTGTTAGGTAAAAAAAAAAAAAAACAGCCTATAAAGTAAAACTTAATATAAAGCAGTAGATATCTACAAATATATGTGAATTAAATAAGAAACCTGAAAATAACTATTTAATAATATGTAAATTCTAAATAAGCTTAAATCAAATATTAATGAAAAATTAAAATAACCATTATACTTATCAGGCTAATATGAGTTAAATAGCATATAAGGCATTTTTTTAAAAATAAAAATATAAGCTTGAGTATAAGCATATTTTATAATAGTTTTAATTATTAAAGTGTTTCAAAGTTAACTTATTTTGAAAATAAAGTAGTAGTTTAAAAGTTATTTCTGATTTGAAATTTGAAATCAGAAAATGAAACAGAACTTATTATAAGATAAAATAAACAAACTTTTTTTTTTAATAATTAGACATAGAATTTTGATAAAAAAATTATAATTATAAAAGAATCTATTCTTATATAAATAAAAATAAATAGTATTTATAGGTTACTGATTTTGAAATAAATATAAAATTTAATTTGAAACCAAAAACCTAAACATTAACTTTGAAACATAATTTAATATTTATACTTACTATATCAATACAAATTAAGTAACTCAAGAAGTACTAATAAGATGAGAAAATTAGATTATAATTTTAAATTTTTTTTAAATATAGAATAATAAATCAAATCCTTGAACCTACCAAGCTAATGTAAATAAAACAGTTTACAGAATGCTGTATGAAGAGCAAGCTTATATAAGCTTAATTTACAATGATTAAGTAAAATAATATAATTATTTTAATCTTATTAAGCTAATGTAAATTGAAGAATCTAAGATGTAAAAGAGCTATTTAAAGCAAATATTCACAAGTTGTATCATAAATTTTAACTAACATTTATAATACTCACCAAGTTCATATAGAATAAATGAGCAGAAAGCAGTTTAATAATAATATTGAATTGAAAGTTTAAATAGAAAATAAAGTCTCTTATATTATAAATCATTGACTTAAATTATGTATAAAAATAAACATAAGTATAATAAAGCTTAAAATAATAATCAATTACAAAACTAAAATAGAAAGCAAGGATATTTACAAGTTAACAGATTTTAAGTAGATAATAAATAAATATTTAATAGTACTACTTATAATAAATATAGTAATAAGACTTAATAATAAATATAAATAATACAATATAGTCGAAATCTGTCAATATATAAAAATATATAATTCTTATTGAGTTAAGTATACATAGTAAAATGTCTGATATTTTAAGTAGAAAAACATCAATGCTGCTTATATTTTTTTTAAGAAATATTAATTGTTTTACTAAATCTGGATCAAGCCTGATATGCTTATCTGTTACATAGTTTCTGGCATCAAAAAATAGGCATTCTGATAATACAGAGAAAGCTGGCACTGCAAGATATCATTTTGCTAAGATTGTCAAGATAGAAAGAAAGTTTTGTATTAGCATTACCAAACCAGAAGACAGAGTTCTTCATTAAGAGAAATTTCAGATATTTTACAATATCGATCAAATTTATCAGGCATAGTGTTTTCTGTTTGTGAATAAGAAAAAAATGCTGATATTTTAGTTTTTTTATTTTCATATAATACTAAAATTGTATCTTCATTATTGGTTGGTGTAGTATTATCATTAGCAATTTGTGTTAAATGCAATTTATCATATTTGCAATGCATAAGTTGAATTATTGTATAGTGTAAATCTCTAGTACAGAAATTTAATTGCTTAAATCATAAGTCAAGAAAGGAGCAGCACATAACAATCTTACTTAGGTCTTCTTACTGTTCAATTAAATTTTCCAAGATTCTGTCTTTAACCAAGATTATTTTATTTTTTAGACTAGTAAAGTTCTTAATCTGATATGCAAGTTCTTCTAACATTAGTATCATAAAGCCAAGTGTTGGATATTTGAATCTACTTAAAAATTCTGTTGCTTTATCAAAAAAAGAAAGAAGTATAACAAGTTTTTTTAATAATTCAAATTCTTCTTCTAAAGAAAAAAAAGACCTTATTATTTCTGCTTCTTTTCTAACTTTTCTAAGAGTATAATTATTAAGCATTAAGTATAATTGCATAATAGCAGGTTTTAATAATATGAAATGTTCAATAGAATGAAAGGTGGAGTTTCATCTGGTATCTACATCTTTAATAACATCTAATAGTTGTTTAAGTTCTAGGGTGATTTGCAATTGTGCTTCATGAAGTTGCTTTCTTTTTTTTTTCTTTTAACAAAATAGAAACAAGCATTTTACACTTTGAAATAAGCTCTTTTACTTTCTTTAGCTCTAAATTTACACTTAATTGTAAAGTATGCCTAGCATATTTAATATTAGTAATGCTTATTTGTTGCACTGCCAACTTGATATTCATACTATTATCTGTAATAATAGAAAATATCTTTTAATAGTTAATATTAAATTTATCAAGAACAGAATTAACTGACTTAAGAATATCATATATGTAATAATCATCTAATTCCCCAATTTCAAGTACAATCTCATGCAACTCAAATGATTCTGTAAGCCAGTAATAAGTAATTTTGATATAACTATCATGTGCTTATAATGACCAGATATCAAAGATTAAAGAAACTTTGTTAGATATCTCTAAAAGAAGATCTGTAATTTGGTTTATTGCTGAATTATAAGTGTCAAATATGACTATTTTTATTAAACTAATACATAGCATTTTAAATCAAGAATAAAACTTTTTATCAGAAGTTTAAAATCATCAATTTTGACAAAATAAATTGGCTAAGCATGTAAAACTATATATCATACAATTTGATTTACAAGTTTTTTTTAAACAGAAGAAGAATGGGGTTTCATTATTACTTGCTAAATTGTTTGCTAGTGAATTTTCACTGACATATTTGCAAGTAATTTTTTAGTAATATAATGGATATCTCTAAGATGATTTATTTGATTGCTTGTTGAACCTAATCACATATACTTTATATCACAACTAGTAAACAAACATCAAACTTTTTCAACTTCCTCTTCTTGATTATCTGGTATAAGTATTATAGCATCATATTTTTTAAAAAATTGCTATACAAAACTCCTTGGCTTTCTTTTTTTTTTTTTTTTTTTTGACATGACTCAAATTTGAAGTAGACATTGATGTTGAAGCTAATACTTTATCATTATTATTATTATTTTTATCATTATCAGATAGATCAAATTCATCATTATTCAAACTATTCATTGTAAATTCTTTTGTTTAGATATTGCCACCAAGATGGCACTTGCACCTTTTTATTATACTCATATTTATATTAAATTACTTACATTTTATACAAGTTCTATACAAGGCAAAATCTAGAATTAAAAGGTCTTTATTTTTGAATAATAAATAATATATTTGACTTTTACAAATCATGGATACTTATATATTATACAGGTTCTTTTGAGACAAAAAGCAGACTTTTTGATAATAAAAAAAAATGCCTTAATTGTTTTTTATACTTATTACTAGTTCTATAACCAGTATTTTATATGGTCCCTCTAACAATAAGATTTCTCATATGATTTTTATAACATTTAAATGCTTCTTTTTATTACTTAACTTTTAGATGTACCTTTTTTTTTATATAGCAATATTTTTATGAATTAAGCATTTTTATTCACATGGCTCTGACAGAATTATAACCTTTAATTGCAAATATAGTTAAATTTTAAAAACCAATAATAAAATAGGCTTGATGCTTTTATCTCACCTTAGTATAATTATACCTTTGGATTTATATCAATATTGATTCTTTTATTTTTTGCTAACTGCAAACAATGCCTATTAATCTCATACTTGTTGCATAATGGCAAGAAATTATTTTATTGATCTGAAAAATAAAATGATTGTTTTAAATATAGATTATGCATATTTTGATTACAAATAGCACTAAAATAATAAAATCAAATGTTATTACAAATAAGCTATGCATGTATAATGATAAGCTTTGCTGATTTAACTAATTTGTACTTTTAGTTACTAATTAATGATTGCAATTTTTGTTACATTATTGCTATTAATAGTAATAGTTGTTTGGTTGATTAATATAAGGTATAGTTAGTTGACAACTAGTTGGTAACTAATAATTAATTGTAATTAAATTTGTTGGTAATAAATTAATTAGTTGTTTAAATTTTATTTAAATCAATTAATTGAAAAGTTACCAACTAGTTGATTTTTTAACTAATGATTTGGAACTCTATACAGAAGACTCTGAGGAGTTTACCTTGAGGATAAATTAGTTCTAAGGTTGAGATAATAATCTGAGCATCTGGGTATGTTCTGGTGAGTTAACACAGGTTACAGGTTCAGAGAGTTTAAATTGAAATACTCAAGCAGGAATATTAGGTATAACAATTGGTAAGAAACTTTTGGATAAACTTCTTAAATAGGTAATATAAAAAAGTTATATATATAACCAATTGTATGCTCTTTTGTAATAGTTTATTGAACTACAATACTAATAAGTGATTAATAAAAGTTAAAAAACCAAAGAGGTTATCTTAATACCAAAAAAATATATATATTATTTAAGCAAGGTGTGGCAACTTAGTAAAGTGATCAGATTGTTAACTTTTTAAGTAATAGATTGGATATTTAAATTTTATTAACAGTAAAAATTTAAATAATCACCTATATAATATTTATATTATGGCAACTTTACTAACAATTAGATTAGAATATCTGTAATAATAGTTATATCAGTATGACTGACAGGTTATAGAGCATCTGTATAACTTGTTATACAAAGAAATGCAAACTGACAAATCAGGCAGTATAAACATTAAATAAGTCCTTATAATCATGTAAATCTGTTGAAATTAAGTAACAAGAAGTCTATTTGGGAAGACCTAAGTAAAGAGATAGCCAGATCTTCAACAGCCTTACTGTAAAAGCTAGCCTAGAGAAACAGATATTAAGGTTATAGTATCTAGTTATAGTAGTTAGACAAATAAGAACCTTTGGATTGAGAGTCTTAGATATACTTGCTAGCAAAATCTGAACAAATCCCAAATCTCAAAAAAAACAAATTGCTTTTATAAAAAATTAAATTAACAAAATAATTTTAATATTTTGTAAATATATTATATATAGCTATAAGAATATAAATTATTTGTTTAAATAAAGATTATTAATAAAGTTTTTAAGATATTAATTTAGGCTTGAGTTTGGGATCTAGACATAAACAATCTCAAACTATAATAGTCTGGGATTTGGGTGGCAAGTATAGTCTTGGAAATACCACCAACTAGGTTGCCAGAATGAACTAAAAAAAAAGAATATCAGGCTAACCTAATATACTAATAGACTGATTCTAGTTCTTTATAGACTATCTGAATTAGAAGTTTGATAAAAAGACTGAACAAAAAACAGAAGTATACTAAAGTACTAGGATTATGCTATAAAGTAGATTCTAGAATCTATATAAACTCTACAAGAGCATAGTGGTTTAATAATTAAGCTCTGGCTACAAATGTTAGTTCTGTTATAGCAATATTTAGGTTAGCTATAAAAATAAGTACAGAAGGCTTTGAAGGTTTATCTCAAAGATAAATTAGTTTTAAGATTAAGACAATAATCTGAACATCTAAGTATAACTCAGTGAGTTAATACAGATTACAGGTTCAAAGAGTTTAAAATAGAACACTCAAGCAAAGGTGTTAGATATGACAATTGGTAGAAAACCTTTAGATGAACTCCTTAAATAAGTAATATAGAATAATTATATATGTAGCCAATTGTAATAATTTATAGAACCACATTATTAATAAGTTATTAATAAAAGTCAAAAGACCAAAAAGGTTATCTTAAAAAATATATATATATATATATTATTTAAGCAAAAATAATAATCTTAGTATAATAATTGAGTTGTTATTTTCTAACTAGTAGATTCAAAATTCAAATTTTATCAGTAATAAAATTTTGAAAAATAGTTCTAATCTGACAATCTAAATAGAGTATTTAAGATTATAACTTTGTAATTCTAGTTGTACCAAGTCTAACTTTAAAAATATGCAATATTATATAAATAAATTTGAAAAATATAAACTAAATAGAAGCTAGATGCTAATAATTTAAATAGTATATCTGAGATAGTAACTTTGTAATTTTAGTTGTATAAAACTAATTTTAAAAATATGCAATATTATACAAATAAATCTAAAAAGTATATACTAAATAAAAAGTTTTGTTTAAAAATTCTAAATAAAGAAATAGTATAATCTTTAATAATATTATTTTTAAAAATCTTGAACTAAAGAAAAAAACTTTTAAATAAAAAAAGTTTACTAACATGACTAATTATTTAACCCAGATATAAAGTTATATTATACAGAACTAACTAAATTGATAGTATAAAAGAACTTGCAAAAATATACAATATACTAGTAAAGTTGTAAAAAGAAATACTAAAGTTATATAAACTTTACAAAAATATAGCAGTTTAAAGTTATTTCTAATTGCAAATATTGGTCTTAGTTATAGTAAAAAACTAAAATTAAACTAATGAAAACTTTGATAACAATGTTTTAAAAATATATATTAACTATTTTAAGAGTATAAGTTAATATTTTTTTAGTTTCAAGAGTGATCTTGCCTGTATGTCTTTTATTATTAGCAATATAAGATTATATATTATATACAAGATATATCAACAAAAGTACAACTAGTCATACATATAACTTTAGTCATTATCTAATTAAGGGTTCCACCTATAGGTTACTCACTAGATACCATATCTGAGACCTGTCTGTAAGTTTCTTATTTAAACTTTCTAATTTTTAATACTTACTGCATATATATACAATGTATATCACTAAGTATCATAGCAGAACAGGTTAGGGCTATCTAATTACTATTTATATCTAAATACTATCTCATTGGATGTTACTAAGTATTTATAGTTCTTTGAATTTACTCTTAATGCAAACTTACTAAGTATGGCACCAATATTACCCTTTAGATTTATCTAATTTTAGTAGATCCTGTATTTACTAAAACTGATTTGATGTCAGAAGTATTCAAATTTTAATAAGTCTATTCTTTTTTT